CAGGGGAGGATCCTTCCTTACCTCTCCCAGGTCCTGGTGGCCTCAGGGGTCCTTGGCTTGTGGCCTCATCACTCCAATTTCTGCCTCCATCTTCACATGGCCTTCTCCCTATGTGGGTGTGTGTCCTCTTCCATCTCTTATAAGGACACCAGTCATTGCAATAGGACCCAGCCAGTTAATCTAAGATGATCATCTCAAGATCTTTAATGTAATTATATCTTCAAAGATTGTCCTTCCAAATAAAGTTGCATTCCCAGTTTCTGAGGAGGAGAACGTGAGCATATGCTTTTGGGGGGCCATTGCTCAACCCACTACATTCACTGCCCGGCATTGCACTACACATTGACTTGTCTGCAGCCTGTGGCAGCCACTAGGAAATAAGATACAAGAGTGCAGAATAAAGTCTGTTGCATTCAGGGGTCTGTCTCCAATGCCACAGGGCAGGTGCTTAAGAATATTTGCTGAGGGGCTTACCTCCTTAAACTGCAAATTTTTATCTATGAAATCATTATATTATTCCCTGTGTGCCATTTAAAAACAAACAGAGCCTGGCCGGTGTGGCTCAGTGGTTGAGTCTCGACTTATGAACCAGGAGGTCATAGTTTAATTCCTGGTCAGGGCACATTCCTGGGTTTCAGAGTCCGATCCCCAGTGTGGGGCATGCAGAAGGCAGTCAATCAATGATTCTCTCTCATCATTGATATTTCTATCTCTCTCTCCCTTCCCCTCTGAAATCAATAAAAAATATATTAAAAAATAAAAAAACAAACAGAATTGAGGGTTTATGTAAAAAGACATAACTTCATACTAAGTCCTAAAATTAAAAACATATATGCATGCAAAATATGCCCTTTGTATTATACCCCTTCTTAAAAGGATGCCTTCAAATGCCAACCTTATAATTTGTGAGGTTTGTTATAAATTTCAGGTGTGTCGGGATTGCGTCAGGGCTTCCCAACAGGTGTACTTTGGGAGATGATTTATGGGAAGGGAAAGGACACCATTTTCCTGTAGAGAGTGAATGGGAGTTGGAGAGCATGACCTCATTGCTCAAGGTGCCCAGAGCAGATAATCAAGAAAGACTGCTTTTGGCTGAGTCCCGCCCTTGACTCAGGCCAAGGCCAGGATCCCGCTGAGCTGGAAACCTCAGGAAGTTTCCCAGAAAACTCTCTTGTTTGAGTTGATTCATTCAGCATAGACTCTACAATTCTGCAGTTTGAAGGCAGGAAAAAAAAACTCTTGGAGGAAAAATATCTTGAAGTCAGTGGTGATGACCATGGGATTTAAACAAAGGGACAGAGCTCAGAAGGGATGTTGAAAACAAATATAAATAGCAGGTGTAATTCCGGGGGGAAAGTGGAGAACACACAACAAAAAGACTAACAAATAATAATAATTTGGGTAGTGACATCAAATTACTAAAAATAGAAAAAGAAACACAAGTTAGAAAAAGAAGAAAATCACAAACAAAATTCCTTTAAATCTGTAAAGGGAAATCAAAAGAGATGCTATAAATATTTGCCTCCATTTCTGAAATGCTTTCAGATAGTTCCTGGTAAAAATTTTCAAGGGAATGCTTATCCTGAAATCAAAGTAAAAGATGACAGTAAATTGCATCATATGCCTTAAAAAGCATAGGAATAAAATGTAAATGAGGATGATAGAAGTCAATTTAATGGTAACAACTATAGCAAGGTAGACACAATACATATCTCTTTTATAAGCAAATGATCTCAAATTAAAAACAAATTTCAATAATCTGCTGTTTATGAGAGACGTGGTCAATAAACATTTTTGTCTACCATGCCAGACACCGAGTGGACACACAGTGAGGAAGAGTCCCTGCTCACAGAGCTTACAGTCTGGTGGAAAATGAAACGAGACAGCCAAAAAAAGATCAAGTATAGATCACACAAATTTAAGCCACAGGGAAGAAACAGTGGCAATTTTAACTCTACAAAGTAGAATTTAAGGAATATATTTTAATGGGTTGCAGGTGATATTAAACAGTTACAAGAGTGATAACAAACAGGTAAATCATATGCACTAACCAACAAAGAAGCACAATACAAGAAGCAAAAATTCAGGCAGACAAAAGAAAAAATGGACAGGAAAGCAATTCGACTGGGAAGTGTTAAACTCTTCATTATCTTCCTGTGTCAGATCGAATAGTCCAAAAAAAAAAAAAAGGACATACAATATAACTACAAAGTAAGAATGCATAGCTACAGAACTAATTTACAAAAGAGTGCAGCTTACCAATACCCTTATGAAGAATATACCAACTTTTCTCGTGCCATTGAATACTTACAAAATAGTGCATGCAAACCAGACACAAAGTCTCAGTAAATTAAGAAAACTTAGTAGACATGTGTGCAGGCTACCTTTTCTGATCACAGTGCAACAAGAACAAAAAATTTAAAATAACTTAAGGCTAAGGGTCTTCCAGTCACATAGCGAACGAAACTCTTTAAATGTTTTCTCTGTGGTCCACTCCAGCGGTCGCCAACCTTTCCGACCTCACAGACCACCAGTGGTCTGCGGACCAACGGTTGGCGACCGCTGGTTTGGCGACCGCTGGTCTATTCCGTATTTTTCTCCATTCCAACAGGTCCAGGTGTCTCACAATATCCACTACCCTGGGCATTACCCAACTTGATCCATGAATTCCCACCTGACATCTCTGAGTGGGAGCAGAGGCCATGGTGATGGGATCCAAGAGGCCGGGCTTTCAGGAGAAAAGCGTTTGACCAACATGTCACTCCCTGGAGGTGTGGCACCACCTGAAGAAAGGATACCTGATAGCTCTCTGGGGGAAGCATGAAGTTCTATGCCAACAAGACATTTTTCTTCCCTGGATCCAACACTATCTTAAAATAATCAAATTCAGTTGGAAAGAACCTGAGGAATAACTAAGCCAAGTTCCCATGAATCTTTTATATTAATAATGGAATTTTCCGAGGACCTACTAATGTCAGACCCAACTAGCTACTCTACCTACGCAAACGTTGGCTCAGACCCTTATACACAGGGCTGTGAAGGAGGTTCCGATATCCCCCCTTGGCTCCTGTAGACCCACTCCTCACTCTCCTCCCTTTTTCTTTGGGTTTTTGGTCCAGGAGGCTGCATCCCTGGCTTCCTTTCAGAGCCATTTCCCTCTACTATGTTCTCAGATCCACACAGATACCTCATCCAAGTACTGGTAACTGCTTTCTCCTCTTTCCTTCCAGGCCGTGGATGGTAGCAGTTTTTCACAGCTGCTAACCTTGGGAAATTGCAGAATCCCTCTGGTTTCTCTACGCCCTGCCCACACCTTTGTAAATATCCTGTTTCTCAGACTCTCCCCAGAACACTCAGTTTGAGGGTGCCATCTATTTCTCTTGGGATCGTGACCAGGTAGGTAGTGTCATCCCCATTTTGTGGATGGGTAAACTGAGGTGGAGAGAGGTGAAGAAACTTGCTTAAGGTCACACATCTTAAAGGAACAGGCCTCAGATTTAAATCTGGACAGACTCACACCAGAGTTCTGCTTTTTCTATTATCCTTGGGCCTTTGTTGAAATTGGTGGAGGCAGACAGTACAGTCCTGGCAGGCTCTTTTATTTCTGTAAAGGGGGACGAGTCAGGATAAACACAAAGGGCCACCAGAACTTCCCAGCAGGCTGAATGGGGCTGAGGTGGCCACTCCCTGCAGTTGAGGTAGGTGGCAAATATTTGCTCAAAAGGGGCAGCCCAATGTAAGGACAAATACACATGCCATGTCCTACATTCCTTAAGTAATCCCACTCTATACAGCAGAAAACTGAGGCACAGAGGAGTGGCACAGCCTTCCCCAAAGCCACCTCCCTAAGTGGTGGGTCTTGTTATGGATTCTAGTCCCATAGGAAGCCAAAGCCCTTAACACTTGTTAATACATCTCTTTGGAGGCTGGGCACCATCTACACCAGTGATGGCGAACCTATGACACGCGTGTCAGAGGTGACACGCGAACTCATTTTTTTTGGTTGATTTTTCTTTATTAAATGGCATTTAAATATATAAAATAAATATCAAAAATATAAATCTTTTTCTTACTATGGTTGCAAATATCAAACAATTTCTATATGTGACACGGCACCAGAGTTAAGTTAGGGTTTTTCAAAATGCTGACACGCCGAGCTCAAAAGGTTCGCCATCATGGTCTACACTACACATTCACTCACATACTTTGGGGGGCATTTGAGCCCGGCAGCTTCCCTGGTGATGAGGAGACCACCAGCATACCCTGTGCCAAGCCCCGCCCTTGTCCTGAGCCCTCCCTATGCAACACTGTCCAGGAAATCCTCTCCATTTTACTATGAAGGAGGCACTATCATGGTGACCATTTTACAGATCAGTAAACTAAGGCTCTGAAATTTTAAGAAAACTGCCCGAGATCCCTCCGTCGGCAAGTGCAGAAACCCATTCTGCAGATGAGACTAAAGGCTCAGAGATCCCCCAAGACCACACAGAGCACAGAGGCTGTGGGGGCCTCAAGGCCCTCCGTCGAGGTGAGGTCTTGGCCTTTTTCCACTCCAGACCAGGGAGCCTCTGCTCAGAGAGACCCCGTGGCTGGCCCAGGGGTCACAGCAGCGGTAGGAGTCTCTCTCGGCTCCTGTCCAGTGCTCTCGGCACCTTGGGGTTAACCACTGCCCCCAGGCAATCTCCTGGGCTTGTTAAAGTCCGGCTGCGGGCGCTCCAGACCCAAGGACTCGGGGTCAGAGAACCCGCATTTTAAACAAGCGTTTGCTTGCCCTCTGGCTCCCCGTCCCCTGCTCCAGGTAGATCTCATCTCTGGCAAGTTTGGGAAGCAGCCGGGGTGCTGAGGCGCAGCTGCAGCTCCCGGCCTGCCGGCCACTTCTCTCCTGAAAGTCCCGGGAGCTCGCGGGGCGGGGTCGGGCAGGTGCGCCCAGAGCCGCCCGGTGCGCAGCTCCGCCCCGGGGCGGGGCCTCACCTGCGGCCGCAGGTAGGCGGCTCCCTGGTAACCCGGCCCTGGCCCCGGAGGCTTGGGCGCGCGCAGCCAGCCGCGGCCTCACCGGGGATCCAGGCACGCTCACGGGGGCCGCCGGCGGCGGGACAGGAGGCTGGGCCAGGGGCCTCCGGCCGCTCACCATGGTCAAGACACGCTGCTCCAAGTTCCTGCAGAAACTCGGCTTCCCCGGCGCGGGCCATCAGTACGAGCGGCTGGAGAGGGGCGAGTTGGAAACCTTGGTGAGTTTGGACGACGGGGCGCGGAGCGTGGGACCTGACCCTCCCCCCTCCGCACCCCACGCCCCGAGCCCGTCCGCGTGGTGCGCTCCTCCAGCCCGCCCTCCACCGCCCGGTTCTGGAGAAAAGCGTCTTCAGAGCCACGCCAGCTCGCGTTTCTGCTCCGGCCCAGCGCTCTTGCCACTTAACCCCATTTGGCGGATGCGAAACTGAGCGCGAGGCAGTTAAAGACGTTCCTCCAAGGGCACACGGCTAGGAAACGACCTCGCTAGGAACTTAACCCAGGTTTCTCCGACTCCCAACTCCGGAGAAATGAAATTCCCGGGTCTCCACACCTAGGCTGCTATATGGATTTCAAAAGCTACTTGAATTGGGGGGCGGGGGGGAGGAGTGATGCAAAACCAGCAGCAACAGAAAACTGCGCGCATGTTTTAGCAATCATAGAAATAATGGTGAAAGTCAAGGTAACAGCAGCCAGGCCTCCCAGCTTCGCTCCCCATGTCTCCAGCGCCCTTTTAAAAAACCACTCAGGTTTGTATGTTGACTGCAACCTTCAGGTGACTCTCTAGAATAAACCAACAGGATTCGCAGGGAGGGGAGTGCTTACTAGCTGACACACTGAGACAAAGCTGTCCCCCAAAAGTCCTGCCACTTGGAGGAGCCAGAGGTGACAGTGGCGACCCGTGACTTTACTACTTTCTCCTTAGCTTGTCCTCAGAACTCACAGCGGGATACCAGAGCAGAGGGCCCCGAATTTCTAAGCTTAACCAGTCATTGAAAAGTAAAATCCTGAAATAGTCCCCCGGGGGCGCTCATGAGACTACAACCCTGCCTTTCGACTGGTGAAGGGAAACTTCAAAGTTTACTTTTTAATGAACAGATCAGCTGGAAATACTTGATTTAAAATATTTAATTTCCTCCCAAAGAATGACAATAGTCAAAAAGTTTGGTTGTAGGATTCCTAAATATTGGTGCATTTTCAAGTGGCATTTTATAAATGGACTAGAGGCCCAGTGCTCAAATTCATGCATGGGTGGGGTCCGGCTGCCCCCATCAGGGCGATCAGGCTGCTGGTGGGGCGGGGAAGGGAAGGGGATGCGGGCAGTTGGCTGGCCAGCCCCGCTCCCAATGGGGGGCAGGGGGGCTGTGATCAGGGGCAGGCGGCTGTAGGCCACCTCCCCCCCCCAAGAACTCCCGGTTGCACTCCCAGTTCAGGGGGCAATTTGCATACAGTGGGGCCTTGACTTACGAGTGTCCTGACTAACGAGTTTTTTGAGATACCAGCTGTCTCTCGGCAGATTTTTTGCATTGAGTTGATAGAGTAATTTTATTTAACGAGCTCGGTCTCGGAACGAATTAAACTCATAAGTCAAGGCCCCACTGTATTACGATATTAGCAGGTGAATTCTGGCACTAGGGTGGTGGACCACAGGGCTGTGTAACTAGCAGTTCTCAAATTTATTTTTCTGAAGCACTGTGTGTTAAACATGGATTGGGTAAAGAGTTCCATTATTTCGCCAAAATCCATTTCTCTCCTTATATGCCATGCGATGTGTTTTGTTAAAGAAGTTTGTAGTTTGCTAACATGGTTGCCTTTCTATGTTGTTTTTCTTTCCACTGTTTGATTTTTGCATTGCGCTTGGTATTTTTCAAACACTCCTGCTGTGTATGTACTTGGTTATGATCAGATTTTATGAGCTGTCCAGGTGCCCCGGGTATCATCCAGGTGTGCCAGGCATGGGGATGAAATAGCATGAGTAGAGCTGCTGGGGTGAGCTTCATCTCTGCATCACAGTGGACTTCATTCCCCCCAAATTTTTAAAGGGGCCTCAAGAGGGTGGGACAGGGCTTCAGCCTGCCTGTAGGTGTGGGGGGCAGGGGCTCCCCCTCTGGGCTGTGGACCTGTGCTCTCCGCTGCACCCTGAAGGGGGTGTGGGATGATTGTCAGTGTAGCGTGACCCAGGCAGCCAGCATCAAAGGCAGGCGGAGAAACACAGTGTCAAGGCAAATGGGGAGTGTGATGAGGGAGGGAGGCCAGCCCACCCCAGGGAGGCGACCTGCTTACTGCCAGCTCAGCTCAGCGCCCAAACACCTCCTTTGCTCTCACTTTTATGCCCTCCAATTGGAACTCTTTTTCCTCGCAAGAAATCTGAAAAAAGAAGCAGAGTTTGCTACAGGGATTGTTTCCACAATAGTCCTCACTCTTTTATGAGCACATGTTGTACGCGGCGCGCTGGGCAGTCTCAACCTCCCAACCACTTTGCCCCGTCACCCAGTTATAATAGTGGTTGCTGTTGAGAACTTGCTGCGTTTCCTCCTGGGTCTCTTCAGTTCAAGAGAAGTGTTATTGTAACTGTGAGAGATGGGGATGTCAAGGCTCACAGCGGGGGCCAGGCGCTAACGGTACTTCTCTACAAAACAGAGTTCATGGGGGAGGCTGACAGCCAACAGAGAAACCAAGAGATGTTTCACATGCAGAGGTCCCAGGTGTGATGGAGAATAAAGAACAGAGTGACTGGGTGGGGGACAGGTGGTTGAGACGGGACTAGTATGGAGCCAGAGTTAGAAGCATCAGAGGCAGGAACTAAGCACAGTTCTCATGGCTCCTAGGACACCTCACTCTGGCTGTATTTCCATTGTAATGAAAAGAAAAGTGTATGAGAAACCCCCTTTATTACTGGGAAGAAAGCTTCTCTCTGCTGACCTGATGGTTGGGTAAGGAGAATGCTGGACCAGAAATACCTGCTTCCAGGATGACTCGGTGAAAGTTGTCTTGGACCCTCAGGGCTCCCACCTCTTAACTGAGACTGCCTGGCTCCACCTGCACCGCCTTCCTGTTTGGTGAGCGGATTCATCCTCCTGGGACTCTGCAGGGGGAAGGCTGGGTTCCAGCAGACTCGTGTAATGGCAGGGGGAGGATCGGCTCCCATGCTCACTCCCGTGGTTTCTTGCGGGTCTCTGAGCCTGGCTAGATAGTCCTCTCCCCAGGGCTGCCTCAAAGATGCTTCCCCAAGGATGAATGGTCTAGCCTACTCTCAAGGGGGCAGGATTACTAGGGTGTGAATTCGGGCAGGCTGGGGTGATTGGGGGGTGTCTTAGAGGCTGCCGTGGTAGGAAGAAAGCTACCCAACCATCAGGTCAGCAGAGAGAAGCTTTCTTCTCAGTGGAAAGAAGAAATCGTTTCTTATACGAGATCATTCACATAAAAACCGCGTGCATGGTGTGATCCAGAATTAGTGAGTTTTGTTAGTCTTAAGTTCTATTTATTTAGACTCCTTTAAATTGGATTTTGGTAATGCTCGGGCTGAGAATGTCTGCTTACATGTACAAAATGGCATCTAAGTGTCTCAAAAATGTGTTTGCCGGTTTAGTTGGGGACCAGCAGCCTGTGCACGCCCACTTGGAAGGCCGTCAGTGGGTAACTAGGACTGGCTGGGTCACTGGGAGAGGAGGCGAGCGGCGGGCATTGTGGAAAGAATATGTCTTCACTCGGGCTTGATGATCATCTTGCTGCTCATCGACGGTGGCAGGCAGCTGTGTACAAAGACTGGATTCACACCAAGCCCCACTGGCAATGGGACGGCACCTCTCAGTGGTGCGACATTTGAGGGTTAACTCACGGATGCCTCGAGCACCTGCTGCAGGATGGCGCCACTGGTTTTCTCTCTGAGCCACGGAGAAACTCTCACCCCTTCAGCACGTCATGACGATTGTCCCCCATGCAATTGTGACTGTTCCCCCCAATACCAGCATATTGACATTTGAGTGACAGTTTTGCCTTCATTGAATTATGCTCCTATTAGATTTTTTTTTAATCTACTATTTTTTATGAACCAGGAACTATATATGTATTTTTTTTTCCTCCCTTTCTTTTTCCTTCCTAAACGTGTCATGGTTATTTCATAAACCACAAGGAACACTTGCACAATGTGAAATTCTCCTTCACTCCCCCACGTTGCTCCCACTTTCCTCCTTGGTGTGTGTTGAGGCTGTGGGTACTGTTTGCATCTAATCAGTCTGCAGTAATCAGATGGCTGTTTGCTTGGGCGGTCCTGGCCCCTTTCCTTGCAGTTCCTGAAAGGCTGTGGTAGCAGCACTAGAGCCTGTGACCCCGGCTACCTAGATGTGCATTCTGGTTCTGCCGCTTGCCAGCAGTGAGACCTTGGGCACAGTCCTCAGTCTGCCACGCCCTGGTTTCCCTTCTGTACGTGAGGCCATGACTGCACACACGGCAGAGACCTGTTGTGGAGTGGAATGGTCACGGGAAGCTTTGAGGGCAGCACCTGGCCACAGTATTTATTATTCACACCCAACTCTATGCTTCTTTTTTTTTAAATTCTCACCCAAGGATATTTTCACCACTGATGTTTAGAGAGAGTGGAAGGGAGAGAGGAGGGAGGGAGGGAGACACAGAGAGAGAGAGAGAGAGAGAGAGAGAGAGAGAGAGAGAGTGAGAGAAACATTGATGTGAGAGAGACACATTGACTGATTGCCTTCTGCATGCACCCTGACCAGGACCGGGGATCAAACTTGCAACCGAAGAACATGCCCTTGACCAGGCCGACGCTCTAATCACTTAGCTAACCTATGTTTTTTAAAAAACCTATGTTTTTAAAAATATACATAGGGTAATTCTGTGCACCTGCACCCTCCCCATTTCTGCAGTATATACTAGTACAGTTCAGGAGCAGTTTCTTGCTGTGTAGGCGTTTTTATTTAACCCACCCCTATGGATGGGCATTCAGATGGTTTCCTGCTTTAATGATTAGAACAGTGTTCCAATGGACATCTGTGAAGGCTCCACGTTATTTTGAATCCTTACAAACGTCCCCGCAGAAATCTGAGGCTTCGAGGGTGCAGTGGCCTGTCCAGGGTTGGAACACAGGGCTGCCTGGATTCTGTGCTGGACTTTTCTCTCTCCTGGCCTGGTTTCTCTCTATAAGTTGCTGTTTTCCCCACTGTCATTAGAAAGTATTTTATGGAGAGCCACGTTGAGGTTGTCGGTAGCCTGTTTCTCAGACCTTTAGTTTTAGCATCTGTTGATGATCTTTGCTCGAATCAATTACTCTTACAGTGTCTGCGAAACGGCGTTTTCTAATTCTGTCCTTCCTCCCTCCTTGGTTACTTGGCATTTTGGTATGAGGAAGAGCTTCCCCTTCTACGTATTTGGTCATTTATTTACTCATTCATGTATCATTGTCAAGCCATGGATTCCTGTTTTATTAAGGGTGTAAATTTTGTTAGCATCTCTCATTTTGATGTTCAGATTGTCCCAGGTTTGGCCAACAGGAGCCTCTCCATGGTGACATCTTGAATCTTGGACATTTTTTTTTTCATTCTTTGAGCACATTCCTACTTTCTGGCACAGTAAGAAATTCCAGCCTCGTTTGGTACCTTCCCTGCCCCAGCCCCGGATCAGCCAATTCTCCTAGGATTCTCGGCTCTTTTTACTGGAAGAGTGGCATGGAGAACCAGATCTGGGGCGAGGTGTGCGCATGCTGGTGGGTGTCACTGCTTCTAGGCCCTCTCAGAGGAGGGTGTGTGTGTGTGTGTGTGTGTGTGTGTGTGAATGTGTGAAACCATAGATTTCAATCAATCAATTCCGCAGGGTCAGTGCCAGCTCTCTGTATGTGTAACTCCCTTCACCAACAGTGAGAAGGGCAGCTCCCATTATCCTCAGTATATTTACTTATTGCACAACCTCCCTGAATATAAGAAGTCTCCTCACCTTGCCAACCAATTGTTGGCTCAGGGTCGAACTGGCCACCACCTAGCTTGGCCACCTCCTCACTTGGGCCTTGACTGCACTGCCTGCCTGTAAACAAGATATGTGCTCTGGATGTCACATTTCATCCGATTGTAGCTCTTTGCTGCTGGGGCCACACCACCATTACACACACACACACACACACACACACACACACACACACAGTACTAGATATAATTTCAAGGACTGGGAAACACCTCTGAACCCATCTTGACTGGAGTTGAAGAAGCCCTGCCTCAGCAATCCTCCTTATGGGTCACCTTATTCCCATTTGACAGAGGAGAAAACTGAGGCTCATAGTGTTGCAGAAGACCGGAGAAAAACCAAGCAATGCTTAGAGAACTGGAGTTACACTTTATTATGATTATGATTATGATTATGATTATGATTATTAAGTGCGGGCCCAGAGAAAAATGCCTTTCAAATGCTGGGCAAACAACATGGAGGAAGCTTTCCCTATTTATACTTTTTTCCAGTTCTTTGTCTCCCAAATAAGGGTTTTTCCTGTCCCTTTTGCAAGTTCTTAAAGAGCCCTATGTGCTGGGGCTTTGAGACCTCAACCAAAGGCCTGGCGCCAGCGCTGATAACTTCGTCTGGGGAAGGTTTATGGCCTCTCTGGAATGGGAGTAGTCTTATTTTCCTTGTTATTTAAGTAAGCAAGTGTTTACAGAAGCCAAAATAGCAGGGTTAAAATTTCAAACCACAGTTTTTATATAAGATGGATGCTTCAATAGAAGTTGGGGGACTTGCTGAGGGTCACACAGCTGGTAGCCAGGGGAACTAGAATTAAAGCCGAGATTAGTGAGATGTGGGCCTAGTGATGCTCCCTCCCCCTGGCTTGCTACATTCAGGGGTTCTCCCCTAACATTGAAAGGTGTTGGGCAGGTCCTTTTGAGTTCATTTGTGATGCTCTTGCCCGAGGATCCCGCCTCCTGTTTCCTGTGCTCCGCAGAGAGCCGGCCTCCTCGGGGCTCCTCTGTGCACCGCTTTGCCCACACCGTGCCCTGCCTGGGGCTCTTCTTCCCCCACCTTCCTGAGTTAATCTGCTCACCTGCTCTGTCTTCCCTTTTCTGAGCATTCCTGTACTAGGAAGCCCCCTCCTGCACGGGCTCTGCCCCCACACTTGGTCAGGACTGGGTTTTCCCTCGTTGTAGCATCAATTCTGACTGTGGTGCAGGATTCAAAAAGGTACCAAAGGGTGTCCAGTAGGAGCCTCTCACTGCCTCTGTCTTCCAGCCTGGTGTGAGGTGTGCCTTATAAACAAGCAAATACGCATTCTCCTTTTTGTGTTACATCGGCTAATGTGGTACAATATTGTACATCTTTTTCTTCCCAATCTGTTGCTACTGGTACCACTCCTGGGAAAACTGGTTGGCAGTGTCTACTATAACCCAAGGGGTGGATACCTGTGGCCCAGCGGTTCCACTTCTGGGGATGTGCCCAGGAGAAATGAGGGCTTATATCTGCTCAAAGACTGTTCATAGCAGTGTCGTGTATGATAGGCCACACTAGACTAAGTGCCCAATCACATGCAAATCTATAATAATAAAAGCGTAATACGCTAATTAGACCTGATGTCCTTCCGGACAACCCTCCAGATGAAGCTGAGGCTGTGAGGGAAGCCCTGGTCCCGGGTGCCTGCCAGTGGCCAGAGGGAAGCCAGTGCTGGCAGCCGGGGGAAGGAAGGCCTACTCTTGCACGAATTTCGTGCATCGGGCCTCTAGTAGTAAAATAAATTATGCATATCCATGCAGTGGGATACTTGAAATACTACACAGCAATGAAAGAGAATGAATCAAAGCTATGAAACCATGTTCATGGAACAACACAGATGAATCTCAGTAAATGACATTGATTGAGAGAAGCCAGACATAAGAGTACCTAATGTGATTTTATGTATGTGGGATTCCAAAACAGCAGAACACATCCATGTTGATAGAAGTCCAAACGTTGGTCAGCTTTCGCAGGGTGAAAAGGGCACGAGGGAAACTTCTGGGAGCTGGAGAGGTTCCAGGCTGCATCCTGGTGGGGTTACTCAGGTGCACACGTGCAGAACGGCACCCAGGTACACACCTAAGATTGGCTGTTTTGTCCTATCATCATTATGGCCTGTTAGCTGTAACCTGTTAGTTGGACACGCCTTTATTGTCTAGCTCCTTCCCTTGACGATCCAACTTCTAGAAAGACTTGGGGGCACCTGCTTGGACTCCCACGGCTCTCGAGGGCCCAGGCACTTCCCGCCTGGTGTTTGGCCTGCGAGCCATGGGCTTTTCTGCCCTCCAACGTGGTGGCCTCTTAAGAACAGGACCCTATGGGGTTGGTCTTTAAATGCATCTCCAGCCAGGTATCCTCAGCTTAGCTCTGGCTGCATATTAGAATCACCTGGGCTTTTAGGAATCCTGAAAAGCAGGCCCCACTCTGTTGACCTAGCCATCAGGATAGGCCGTGACAGGTATATTTTTACAAGATCCCAGAGGTTCCCCAACTTTGGAGTCGCTGCTGTGATAACCCCCACTTTCTGGAGGGGAAACTGAGGCAGCCAACGGGTGGATTTGAACAAATACGTTGAAGAAATAAGTGCTTGCATCAGTCATTGAACAGGGAAGCAATCCTTGGGGTCTAGGCCAGTCAGTGCTTGAAATGAGCTGACTCTGAGCCTGGAGGAAGGGCAGAGAGAGCTCAGTTCTGGCGCAGGAGGCTGGCCTGCCCCCAGGTGCCACGTGCTCGCTCTCTCAGCCAGCTCGTCTCTCAGCAATGTCATGTTTGCCCTGTGCGGTTCCCTCCGGAAGCCTCCGCTCGGTTAAATATTGGCGCTGAGCTGTCAGCTTGGGGAAAACACTCTAAGACATCCTCATTCCAGACTATTTCCTCGGGGCTCAGGGAGGCCCCACTCACCGTCGCCTGCCCTGGGATGCCAGCGTGGGTCTGTTTGCTGTGGGCAAACAATACTTTGGGGGTCACAAAGCAGGCACAAAAGGTCACGTACTGTGTGATTCCATTTGTACGAAATAGGCAGAGTAGGTCGGTCCATAGAGACAGACAGCAGATGGGTGGTTGCCAGGAGCTGGGGGTCGGGGGTGGGGAGGGGGGAGAGAATGGAGAGTGACTGATAATGGGATGCGGTCTCCTTTTGGGGTGATGGAAATGTCTCAGAAC